TGGCACTTGGCCCTAACAGGTTTTCTCCTAACCAAAGGCCTTCTTGCTATGAAGAGCAACTATCATGATATTACCATTTTTACATTTCCATTTCAGTCCAATTCTTCAGCTGCTTGGTATTGCCTTCCTTCAGATATCATTTCTTTAGTCAAGTTTTAGTGATATGCTTCTCTCCCTTGGGAGTAAGTCTGCTCACTCTCTCTCTCTCTTGCTCTCTTTCTCTCTCTCCTTAGTTGACTTGTGTATTTGTGTTCTGGTTCATTAGGTGTTGATTGCCATTTTCACTTTCTGAGGGCAACTCTACCTATCCTTTCACGTCAGTTCACTGCCACACAATGCAACATCCTAGCCTATGCAATATTTAATAAATGCTCCCATACAAATTCTCCTGGGTTATTAGCTTCATGGAACACTGCCGGGTGATTTATTTCCTTAATCCCAGTACCTCTGGGGAATAGCTAAAATACAGAAACTCTTGCCTCGGTGTGATAGTGAAAAACGTCTTATCAGAAAAAAATAGAGAATTTATTCATTACTATGTAGGCACTAAGAATTAGTGGATTCTGGGGTGCCTGGGTGGCTTAGCCAGTTAAGGGTCCAATTCTTGATTTCAACTAAGGTCATGATCTCATGGTTCATCAGGCTATGCGCTGACATTGAGGAGCCTGCTTAGGGTTCTCTCTCTCCCTCTCTCTCTACCCATCCCCCACTTGCTCATGCTCTCTCTCTCTCAAAAATAAATACACTTAAAAAAATTTGTGCATTCTTTAAAACCTAACCTTCATTGCAACCAATAACAATTTGTTTACTCATTCAACAAACATTTTAAGCACCTACTAGGCACCATTCTAAATTTGGGGGCAATAAAAATTAAGATGACATGGTTCCTGCTGTCAAAGAACCCAGGTAATAGAAGAAGTAGAGATATAAAGATATGCAATTCAATGTTTTAAGTGAAATGACAGAGTTGTTCACAAAATATTGGGTGGAGTTAGGGTTGATGAACAAAACACAGCCTGGAAATCTATGACAGTTGTCCCTTAATTAAAATACCTTAATTCATAAACTGAATCTTCAAGAATGAATGGTAGTATAATACAAAGAACCATATTGAGGCCTAGCATTAATCACAAAGAATTCTAATAATTTGAGTAGAAGCATTTTACCTATCACCCATACCCTAGTCTCTGCCCAGGGATCTTATAGCAGAATAGACATAAATGGAGGACACCATGTTTCCCTCATTTTTAGCAAATTGATCTTTTGCGGTTTGAAGGCATTTATTTACTCTTAGCCCCCTTTTACCAATAACAAGGGTAGAAAAGTAAGAGTACATACACTTCCAGTATATAAAATTTAAGTAATTTGGGACTCAAATGTCAGCATAAGACACTATAAAATTTGGCCATGGTTTATTTGGGATAGAAAGGGACAAAACAATGCCCTGAAAAGGTTAGGAACACAATCCTCTCCTGCCCATTTTCACCAAATGAATTTTCATGATAATGAAAAGGTAGCCATTGAGGTAAAATAGAAGAAGCATTCTGATGAAACTTTTGTTAATGTGTCTCTGTTTATATCAAGTTTGAATCCAGACTTTGCTGACATGTAGGGCATGTCATGTGGAATATCATGTAGCTACTATAATCTTCTCATATACTCTGCCTAAAAATGCCCTTTGACTTCTTTTATATTCTTTTGTTAACCCAGAGCCCCAAAGGGTCACAACCATTAAATATTTAGAGATAGTACTTAGTAGCCATGACAAGTAGTAATCTGTCAGGCAAGAAGGTGAAGGGGTGAGAGTATTTCAGACAGGGCAAAGACATAAAGGTTTGGAATCACATATCCAGCTTCACACTGCATGGCAGGTGCTAGTCAGAAAAATGATGCAACTGGAACCAGGTAGAGGCTCATGGGGGGCTTTTATTCCACAGTAAGAAAACTGATGCTGTTGACACTTAAATCACATTGAAGGTTTTCACAAGGGTAGTGAACATCATATCTATGTTTAAAGAGTTTATTTAGTCTTTTAGTTGTTTAGAAAATGGAATTGAAGGGAAATAAAGACTAAATGCCCAGAGACCACTTAGAAAGACCACAAGAGTTCAAGCAAACTAGAATAGAGGCAATAGAAACAGAGAAATGGGGACATATTAAAAAAAATACTTAGGGGTTGACTGGGTGGTTGGTGAGGGAGAAAAAGTCTCAAGAATTGCTCCTAAGTTTTTGGTTTGGCTAGAAGAATGAGGTGGATGGTCTTATCATCAACTGAAATAAAGACTGGAAAAGGAAATATTTTATAGGGGAAATTAAGAGCTCTGTGTGGGTTGTGCTGACTTTTAAGGGAATATAAGACATATAGCTGAAGGTGTTGGGTGAAGAATCTAGACATAAGAAGGATTTGCCAGAAATAAGCATATAGATGGTTAAAACCATGGGGCCTGATGAGATCAGCCAAGGAAAGTACATAGATGGAGGGGACATATTAGTTGAAGATAAAAAATGTACTCTAGGAAGACAGACAAAAAGAAGATTAAGAGTATAGAAGAGAAATACAAAACACCCCAGTATTACAGAATTCAAGTTTTGAAACTGATAGTCTAACGACAAAAGAGATCAGCGGAATCAAATTCAACAGAGAAGTCGAATAGTATGTATACTGAAAATGCTCATTTGGCAGCTGCTTGCCTTTTAAAAAAACAATTTCTGGAAACTGGTGGAGGCAGAAGCCAATTTTCATTGAGAATAGAGCACATGGAAAGTGAAGGAATAGAGATAACTTTTCTTCTGCTGGTATGTGAGAATGTCGAGCTTTGTTCTTCCAATTTCAGCAATACAATATTCTAAGGTGTCCAATGCAGAGGCTGAGTCTTAAAGATACCTTGTTGTGGTGGTGGTGGTGTGTGGGGAATAAGCTTAGAAATTCCCTGGGCTTATTCCAATGGGTTAACAAGGCATAAAGAATTAAAAGCTATAGGGTGTTCTCACCCAGACTTGGGTGAACAAGATAAGACCCCCAGAATGAAGTAGAGCAAGATGAGACCCTAAGAATGAAGTAGACCCCCAGAATGAAGTTGCCTGGCAAAGGCCCCAGAATAAAATGGGGGGGGGGGCTAGAGCCCCCAGAATAGAGAGGGAGGGGCAAAGGCCCAGAATAGACAGGGGGGCAAAGGCCCCCAGTACAAAGGTATATGAGGTAGGAAAGATTAGGCATTCAGGGCAAAAGTGCCCCCCAATTTAGTACTATAGCATAAAGCTGCTTTCATAGGAGGGAAGGACCAAGTTAGGTAAACCGGTAAATAGGGCTATAAACCACTGAGCTGTAGATGCTGCTGCCCAGAGTGGAGGTGATTAGCAAAAGAAAAGGTGCCTTGTTAACCCTGAGATTATTTGTTCTGTCTTATCCCCTAGGCTAGCTAAGATAAACAGACAAGGCGCCTCTTATATGCTGTTAACAACCATCTGCCCATCTGCCAGAAGCCAGGATTTTGTTTTATATTGACCTAAACCCCAAACACCTATATCTTCAAAACCCCCTTTTCTCTCATGCCCATGAGTTAATGCTCACCAGTTCATTGTCTCTTTGTGCATGCCCATCACGTTTGTAAACATTCTGATATTAATAAATATGGGGCAAGGACCCTTATTCGGGGCTCTTGTCTTCTCCCAGACATTAGCCATCTCTCGCATTTTAATCCTGTGTCCCGCTCTCTTCTTATCAAGAGAGAACTTTAGACTTAGAGTCTACGACAGTGGTGATGGTGAAGGTGACAGTGGTAATGGTGGTGGGCATGGGGGTGATGGTGGTGGTGGTGATGGTGATGATGACAGTGGTAGTAATGGTGATTGTAGTGGTGGAGATGGTGGTGGTGATGGTGATGGTCTCTGTTTCTTATTTTATTCTCCACACCTCTAGTTACCCGGCCTATAAGTTTGTTCATTGACTTTCTGGGAGACAGCAGATAACACACAATCTTTTATCTGCCAATATATAAAAGATATTTCCATAGCAACAGCCTCTCAGATTTTTGTGGAGAAAATAGAACTCAGTCACTTTCATAGTTACTCATCATCTTGTTTCCTTATGTCTTGTTTTTCTTGTCATTCAGAGACAAAGAGACACAGAGAGAGAAAAAAGAGAGAGAGAGAGAGAGAGAACCTTTCTTCTCTTTGGCTCCTCCGCAGTCCTTCTGACACTCTGACTCTCCCTGACACATAGACAATGAGCCCAATGTCTTCAGGGGCTATGAATATGTTCCTTACCAACTGAAAACTACTTAGTAATGAATAAGTGAATGAATAATGCATCTCTGATGTCACTCTTGTTACATACATTTTCATGTTTCTTTTCTTGTCTAGATTATGAAATCCTAGAAAGCAGGAATAGCCTTATGTTTTGTAGCATTTTTGGTGCCTTAGATAGCACCCAACTGCAAACTAGGTAGTTAAAGAATTTTTTTCAGTGGTTGAATGAACTCACACAGAATTATGTAAAACAGAAGAGGGAGTACTCAGCACTGTGACACATACATCAAAACAATAAAATAGTACCTGCTCTTGAATAATTGGAAGAACTAAACTAACATACATGAAAAAGTTTGGAGAAAATGTTAACACTGGTTTTGGCCATAAAAATACTCATGGAGGTTAGAGACCTGTGCCCTAGAACTGGCAAAAAAAATTAAGAAGAGGTAAATTTTATTTGACCCTTTAAGAAGGGATTGGCTTAAAGTGAAGAGAATACAAATCCAGTATCTGGGTTGACAGTGCCAAACTGCAAGAGAATCCAGGATTACCCAGCATAACATGATGGAGAGGGCAGGGGGAGCCCAAGGTAAATGGGACAGGGAAGGTAATGGCAGCGTGAACAAAAATGGAAACGCTTCTCTTTTTTGGAGAGGTAGGAAAAGATGAAATAGGCTCTATGAATATATTTCAAGCCCATATTCCTTTCTGTTGAACACATGTAGAGAAAATACTTCATACCTACCATTCACTTCTTTGAAAACCAAGTTCCTCCTTAGAGTGTCATGATAGAGCTAGTGCAAGAGACCTGGCAGGGGCCTCATGATTTTCCCAGTCAAACATTCAGATGCTGCAATGAATATGGAAGGCAGTCTAGGAGAAACACACGGAAACATTTTTTTTTTAGTAACACTTATTTTCTCTTGGCTCATCAGTATTGATATGACTGATAAAACACAACATGAAAAGACAGAAAAGCTTCTCTTCTCACCAAGTGGAAGAGATGGGATGGAATAAAACTGAGCAAAAGGTTGAAAGTATTTAAAGTGGAAGCTTGCAATACTGGTAACTCGTTTCCTACAGACAATAGAATATTTCTGAAATAATAATAGGAGTAACTGAACATGAATAGAGAAGTCACTAAATGTCAATATTCTTCCCCAAGTATATCTAATTAAGAAAAAAAACTCATTCCATAATAATGTAACAAAATCTTAATTGTGCTATTTACAGTGTTTATGAGTATTTGTTCTATTTTGAAGGCTCATCTTTGAATTTCATTTCTGGCAGTTATTGGAATTTTAAGAGATCATCATTCACATGAATATATTTTTCACAGGGTTAGAGTCTACCATACTCATTGTACCCAACAAAGAAATTACTGCCTTTCATTTGAACATTGCTAGCAGTGCTTGGCATATAGTAGATATTCCACATATATTTGTTGAGTTCAATTCTGAGAAGATTTATTTGCTTTGCAGCTAAACATGTAATATAAAATGACTAATTCCTAGAGAAACAACTTTTTTTCCATACTCTCAAATCAAATTTTCCATACTCTGAGGGTCTAAAATTTGTTTTGTTTCCTTTATTTGCAACAACTACTATAAGACATAATCATAATAACTTATTCTGCTCTCTTTTGATTGTAAATTCTATAAGAAGAGAAATCTTGACTGTTTTGTTTGCTGCCTCACATGTAATAGATACGTAGCAAATATTCGTTAAACGAATGAACAAACAAAATTGATCTCCTTGATACCTATGTTGGTGAGAGAGATAGGGAGGGAGGAAGAAATATTCCTAGTAATTTTAATACATGTACACATTTACCTCTCATATAGATTGTACTTATAATTTCTTTGAGGCATCAGTTCTGGCCTAGAACTGCTTAGAACTACTCAAAATGATGTTTTTTAACTACCAGAAATGAACAGAATTAGGATATATCTAATTTGAGATGGAATGGATACAATTCAGAATTATCAGGAATTACATGTATCAACTAATTGCATTTATTAACCATTGAAAACTTAACGTAGTTTCTAAACATTTCTGAAGGCATTCCAAATTAAAAAGAAAAAAAAAACATAGCCACAACAAAATAAGCATCAGTCCTAACTTAATATTCTTCAGTTAAGTCAAACTTAAGTAAGAGAGACTATTCTGCTCTATTGGAATATTAAAACCTTATTCAGGGGATGCCTAGGTGGTACAGTCAGTTGAGCCTCTGACTCTTGATTTTCCTCAGGTCATGATCCTCGGGTCATGGGATCCAGCCCCTTGTTGGGCATGGAGTCTGCTTAAGCCTCTCTCTCCCTCTCTCTCTGCCCCTCTCCCCTGCTCATGCTCACTCTCTCTCTCTCTAAAATTAAAACAAACTTTATTAAGGATCCATTGAATACATCAATTAGAACTGAAATCCAGGAGTGCCTGGGTGGCCCAGTCAGTTGAGTGTCTAACTCCTGATTTTGGCTCAGGTCATGGTCATGGGATCAAGCCCCTTCTTTTAATATTCTGTCTCTCTTTCTCTCTGCTCCTCCCCTATGCTTACTCATGTTCTCTCTCTCAAAAAAATAAATAAATAAATAAATAAATAAATAAATAAATAAATAAATAAAGTCTCTTATTTCTTAAAAAAAAAAAAAAGGAACTGAAACCCAAACAAAATGAGAGAGTACTTTTTCAGAAGTGTTTCATCACAAATCTCATAAAAACTTTTGTTGGCTATCTACTATATGCTGCAATTTGGAAACTTTTTAGACTTTGGAACAATTACTTCAGAAAAAAGGGTTTGCAAAGAAGCAGTATATAAAACAGATTATTAGAGTTGCTCAAGAGGAAAGTAGGAGTAGGTGGGAAGTCATAAGGATCTAAGGAATCCTGCCACGCACTGGGAATTTAGGACTAAAAAGAACTTGGTTCTAAGCACAGAACTCCATTAACTAGAATGCCCAGGTGACCTTCCACGCTTCACATTCTCATCTATAAAATGGAAAATATGACATATCTTATGGAATTGTTATGAGAATTAAATGGGATGATTGTTTGAAATACTCAGCATATAGCCTGAGATGCAATAAGAGGTCACCAAATGGTACCATGGCAGAAAATGTTGGCACCCTACCCCTCTCCTTAGATCTCTAGCCACCACTTTAGTGCACTTCACCCACCTCTGACCCTTCAGTCAGCACTTAACACTTGCTTTTGGTAGAACCCAGGCAGGGACAGATGAAGTGCCTGGAAATTTACATCACCAACCCCTTCTGTCCATGCATCATGGCCCTTACTCAATGACTGAAATGTACATAAAGGAGTACTTTCCATTATACCATTAAGGGCTTACTTTCCATTATATTACCCCACTTCAGGATCAAGCTAAAGCCATCTCTAGCACTTTGCCTAAAAAAAAGAAATTACTCCCCCTACTTGTCTTCTCGTTTTTCCCTTTCCTGCTGCCCTACTCCCTTATAGATCTTCCTGGGTGTGCTTCTTTAACAAAGCATTTACACATGAATACCCTTTTTAGGGCCAACTCTGAGCAATACAACCTAAATGGGGATTGATATATGTTTATTAGCATGGCATACAAAATACTGAATAATCTCAATCTCATTTTCAGACATTTTTCTCCATGGGTTCTCTAACTCAGCCAGAGAAGTCTTGGGGCTCCCAATACACCATGAATGTACATGTCTCTACTTTTTTCTGTTTAAATTTTTTTTAATGTTTATTTATTTTTGAGACAGAGAGAGAAAGAGCATGAGTGGGGGAGGGGAAGAGAGAGAGGGAGACACAGAGTCCAAAGCAGGCTCCAGGCTCTGAGCTGTCAGCACAGAGCCCACCACAGGGCTCAAACCACGAACTGTGAGATGATGACCTGGACAGAGGTTGGATGCTTAATTGACTGAGCCACCCAGGCGCCCCTCTTTTTTAGAATGCTTTTTCTCTGTGAGAAATACTTAGTCATCCTTCAAGACCCACTTGAAATGTTCCCTCTTCTGTGATACAACCTGAAATTCTACCAGAAAAAAATTACTCCCTTAGCAAGTGTCTTTAAATTTTATCCATATATCTTCTATAAAATACACCACTTTGTATTGGTGAGTATGTCTGGGAACTCTGATAATGATGACTTCATCAATTCATTTACCTTTGAATTTCACCCAGTTCCTCTCCAGCCATCCTACCAACCACCTTCATCCTTGTCACATACATGTCCAAGATCCTTTACCCAAACCCATACAAACAGATGAGTTTGGGAATTCAAAACTTTCAGCACTATGAATGGTATTAGAGGCCACACATCACACCTTACAGAGCATTTCTAGCAGGTTCTGGGGTGGCACCTCAAAGCTGAATGCATCAGTTTCTTCAGGGAGAGAAATGAATACTTACACTAAATGGGATAAATAAAAAATGCACATAGCCTCATATCCATTCAGGTAATGTTTTACAACTAAATGAACTCAGGTTTCTTAAGAGTTTTTTTTTTATTTAAGCTTTATAAATAAGAGGTTGTAGACCTTTAATAGAAGCTCAGTATGTGCTTATTGAACTTGACCCAAGAAGACATCCTCTCATTGCTGTTTCCATTACATTTCCCTCACATTTAAACTTATTAAGAACAGCTTTTTAAATAGTTTTAAGTTTATTTATTTTGAGAGAGAGAGAGAGAGAGAGAGAGAGAGAGAGAGAGAATGAGTGGGTGAGGGCAGAGAGAGAGAGAGAGAGAGAGAGAGAGAGAGAATCCCAAGCAGCCTCCATGCTGTCAACACAGAGTCTGACGTGGGGCTCAATATCATAAGTGTGAGATCATGAACTGAACCGAAATCAAGAGTCAGATGCTTAACTGACTGAGTCACCCAGGCACCCCCAGAACAGCTTTTTTAAAGCTCCTGGATACAATTGCTTTTCAGCAAAAGCCAAGATGAACTACCCGAATCACCAGATTTCCTTACCCAATCCCTGGAGAAACAGATTATACTGTTTTGCTGCTTCTTTGAATATCAGACCTGTGAAGCATGGTCTTCTATGTCAATGTATAAAAATTGCAGAACCTTGGAATATGACTAATTTGACTACAAAATCTGAGGCCAGCAAATTGCTTAAACATGCCTTTCTCTTGCTTTGTACTAGGCTAATAATAATCTCACAGACATGAAAACTAAATCCCCCAAAGAGATGGAATCACATTTGATGGCTGGAAGCATTTTAGAGGGCACCTAATTCAATCCCTTCATTTTATAAATGATGGAACAAAGGCTCAGAGATGTTAATTGACTTTCTTGGGTTCACATAGTAGGTTAGTAGCAAAGCAGAAATTAGAATCAAAATCTCTAGCATGAGTCCCCTTTTCTCCATACTATTTTATCTCAATAAAATAGGAATTCTCCTCTGGCCCTGATCCTTTCAGCCTGCTATTCCAAAAGAACAGATATCCTATTCTACTCTCTGAAAAACTGAATTGCATGCATGTACACTTCCTGATTCTGCACACAAGACTGTCATTTGAAAAAGTGATAATAGTAGCTTTCTCTTTACTGAGCCTATATAGTATGTCAAGGTCTCCACTTGGTGCCTAATAAAAGGAATTTATAAATGGAAGACAATATTACCATGAACGATTGTGGTTCTAACCAGCATACATTAAAAGTCTTAATAAAATTATTTTTGAAAATATTCTTAGATTTTTTAAAGTTATCCTTACAGTGAAATAAAACACACTAGGCTTATTAGTCAGATTCTTAATGATTCCAGAGTTTAAGACCCTTATAATTACTTTATTGGAATAATGTCAATGAAATAATGCATTTAAATGCTACACACATTTTAATTTGCTATCTCTATAGTATCACTTAAATAGAGATTTT